GCAATCTCCAATCCGTTTGCCAAGGGTGGAGATTGTGGGAAAACCAATACGGAAGAGGTTCACTCTGTCATGAGCTAATAGTGATGTGAAAAGAGTACATGGTGTCAATTATCGAACATCAGACATGTGCTCGAATATGATATCGAATCGGATTTAAAAAAATACTCTCAGACTCCAAAACGAAAAAAGAGAAATAAAGGAAAATCAGCGTAAAAGAAACTAGGGCGATCGATAGTCAAACCAGACGCATGAAATGTAAAATAAACAGGGAGAAGGATGCACAATTTTCGCCTCCATAATCCCAATCCGTTCCTATCTAATCCCCAATCCTCTCTTCTTTAATCTCATCTCAAAATCCCCAAATGGCCGGCAACGCACTAGTAACTCCTCTGGTGTAGCGGGTGTCCATGGGTACATTCGTATTCCCATTAATATACGTACCTAGTTATAATCGATATAGAGCATAGAATGTGAACATTGAGTAAACCCCTCTAGCTTTATACAAAAAGGCAGCCATTATGTAGGATTACACTTGATATGGCTTAACAAGTCCTGTCCAGCTAACGATATTTTTTTGTTTTATTTTTTTTTTTTATATTAATAAGTTTTGTAATTTGTACAATACGTCAAGCGTGTCTTTGCAGTGTTCTCACATATATGTACTTATAGTATTGGAATATGTATCATGGACATACTTTTTTTAAAAGAGTAACGAATTGAGTGTCTTGCTCGTTCTTCTCCATTCGAATCTACATTATGGAATGAGAACCTAGCTTCACCTACCTTCACTGCCGTACCGAATGACAGACTATTATTATTTATTTTGTATTTTGTTGACGTTTCAAAAGCTTTGATTTTGACTTTAAAATAAAAGTTTTTATTAATTTTTGCTTACGCACGTTGGGAGCCCCCGTAGTTCGGGGGCCCCGTATAATAGATACGGTACCCGGGTACATACGGCGCCAGCTTGCTCCTGATGTAATCCTACTATAAATCAAGAGTACACTCATTATTGAAGCACAATCGAATTTGTTTTAAAAAGATATGCAATTTCATAAGATATCATTTCAAGTGCATTAGTTCTTATACGTACGTAACTGTGATCCCCCCCTAATAGAGGTAGGTACGTCGACCTCCGATCTAGCTAAAGTATTTATTGAAAGGAGATTTGTACTTATGTACTCGTGTTTTCGATAGATACATAACTTACTTATTTACATGATTACAGGCTTACAATACCTATAGGCCACATAAAGAACAAAGGATTTGTTGGAGTAGTACCTCCGGGCTGAACACCCTCACAACCCTCCGACCACCCGCGCGACCTATATACTGCAAACAAAGAACTCGCCCGGGCCACCAGCTCGTAGGCGCTAGTAGGTACTGATATTCAGTCTAGTATGTACATAACTTTAAATTTCTATTCAAAAACATCGAAAACAAGCTCAAATTGGTCAAAAACTCCTGAAATAGGCTTGGAATTAGTTAAAAAATGGGCGGGCGTTCAAATATATAGGGCGAGCCCGTCCCACATAATTGAAATGATAATTAAAAATAATAGCAGCGCAGGCTCCCCGCACCTTTTACGTCTCAGACCCCTTCGAAAGGGGGTTGGGTATAAAAGAGACCTCTGTTGCAGCCCTGCAACGAGTGCGGTCTTGACGCCCGAGGTGTGTAGTCGTCCATGCTAGTTTGCCGCAGGTGCTCTCGGATCCGGCAGTGCATCTTCAGCCGTTGACCAGAGCAGACGTGTTTCGGAACAATGTCAAATTCACCGGAGTCTAGCAGTTCCAGCCAAGTAGCTGTCATCATGCCTCCGTAAGTACCAAATAATTTATAATTAATTAAAATTATGCCATTAATTAATTATTTATTTAATTATTTTTTGTTGTTAATTTTTTTGTGAGTGATATGAAATTATGTTTCGATAAATTAAATTATGATGGCACAATTTTAAATAATTATAATTATTAACTGGTGGTATCCTGAAGCAGCGTAGCTGAGCAGCAGAGACTTTGGTTCCCGCACAGAATAATTTTTGTGATAATATTTCGATTTGGGAAACGCACATACGAGATAGTTCCAGAGACCAGCAATTACAAAATATCTATCGTCCCTTCTATATTATCTAGTGGGTTAAAAGCATTTAAATAAAATTGTATAAATCAATCACTGCACCACTGACATAGTCGGAAAAATTTAAATAAAAAAAAATCATCAAACCTAGGCCCACATAATACAATATAAAAAAAATGCAATAAAATGTGCTTTCCAATAAATCGAATGGAACTTTAGCAGTCACCCTCGAGGCTGCTGAATTAAAGAGGAGTTCATAATAAAAAATATCTTTAACCTCGAACTCTAAAATTAATAATTGCACTTGCAGCTACTGAACTAATGAGGAACTCGAATTATGTTTCCATCATTTAATCGAACTGATAATTGCATTACACTTATGCCACTTATTTCTTTTTTCCTAGCACCATCTATATGACAATTCATCCCCTCCTCTATAAAAAAAACTCCTTTTGCTGTGCCCGACAGGGTCCACAATTGTTTTTGTACATTGTAACAATATCAACTGTTGTAAAATACAATATAGTCTTGAGTATTGAATACATAATAATTCAATCGAATCTTTTGTTGTTATGAGTTATTAATATAGGTCAAACGTGGAACTCTTGATATGAGATTCGCTTTAAAATGAAACTGGCACATGCACACCAGCTAGCATATCATAGCACAACACAGCATAGCATAGCATAGAACAGCGTATAGCATAACATAGGACAGCATAGAACGGCGTATTACCATAGTATGCTATGAAACGCCGTTCTATAAGCATACGCAGAACAACATAGCATAACAACACAACACAACACAACACAACACAACACAACACAACACAACACAACAACCTATATCCAGCATTTTTGTTTGTAAATTTAAATTACTTTTATTTCAACCATTGGTTTTATTCCAAAAGCAGTTATTTGTTTATTGATTACTGTTACATTTTTATCACATTTCAATCTTTTTCGTCACCGTTGATACGTTCATTTGAGTATTTCTATAATACTCAACTACTTATGAGTACCGTCGTGGCAGTAACGCAACACAAAGTGGCACATTTACCGACCTAACACTACAAATCAACGCACTATCTGTAATTGGTTTACTCGCTTCCGTTCTGGAAATTCCGACCTCAAATGAACCTCCGAACGAATTAAAGGGCGAAAAATACCTATGGCTGAATTACCAGCAGTTTTCGACGTTAGCGTCAAAATAATATAGATCCGTATGCGTCAAATCGGGTGCCTCACGAACTAAATGATCGCCATCGCGAAATACGTGTGGAGTGCCTTGCATTGCTCAACAGACACATAAATGAAAGAATTTCAAACCGTATTGTTACCTGCGGTGAAAAATGGATTCTGTTTGGTAATCGCAAGCGCTCAGCAAATTGGTTGGATCCTGGTTCGGCACCAAAACAATGCAGTAAACGAAAATGGTGGTTACTTTTTGGTGGTCTAGCACTGGTGTGTTTCATCACAGGTTCTTACCAAACGGGATGAGCAATATTGCAGATTTTCACTGTGAAGAACTACTACTACTACTACTACTATTGAGTCTCTAGTAACAGACTACTACTTTCCCAGAATTTGGCGGGAATTTTAACTTCTTGGAGGAAAAAAAATCAATACTCGAGAGGCAATACAAAATGCCAAAATTCGTCGTCCAGCTGATTTCTTTGACAAGGGCATCAATAAACTACCACTGTGTTGGCAAAAATGCTATAATTGCAAATAAAAAGAAGGCAAATAAAAAATATACGAACAATTATCGTTAGTTTTTATACAAAACGGCAGTTTGATAGGTAATTATTATATTCCCATTTGTAGAATTGAATAAAAAACAGTTCAAAACTAAACCAATTTACTCCTTTTGAAAATTCGAACGTCAGGAGCGCAGTTCGGTCAAGACCACCAAATTCAGTATTGTGTATTATTCAGACACGTGGATTATTGTGAACCCGATATGCGAAAGTGGAATTGTTGGTAGGCCCACAAATATTTGCGTCAATCTGAACGTTGTCAAAGAGAATGGCAATAGTGAGGCACTATATTACTGTTACAGACTGAGAATGATCTGCACACTAAAACAGGTCCTTTGTTTTTGCGTAGCGTTCATCACCATTACTGCGTCTAACTGCATAAATCAAATTACACATACATCTGTACTGCACTCCAATCTGCATGACGTAAAGGTAAAAAAAATGAAGTACTCACAGTCATCCGTCTATCTGCAACTAGTGGCTATCGAAGCCCGGCGTGGAAAAAAAAACCAAAAACAAAAATTTAGCTTTCCAAGCAATGCTGAACGGTGAAAATATAACCGTTCTAAAAGTTCGCGTATTTTTGTAAAACAACGAAGAAAACCTTCCAATCCGGTGGAAAGTATACTACCATTTTGATACTCGGTAAGGGAGATTTTCTTTTCTTTGAAATACCTATCAATCCTTAACGGGAACCTTATCTCGTGGTTTAGTTAGTGGGGTTAAATGTCAGGTTTTATTGTAAGGTAGCAGTAGCTTAACAAAAATTGAATTAGTTTCAAAGCTTTGTACTTAACCAGCGCTATTGAAAGTAGAGCAGAGAAAATAAAAATGTATGTTATAATATTACTAAGGACACTACACTGCGACGACAGGATTTACGTTGGAAGTGCAAGCTTAAGCTGATTTGTGCAAATGTCACGCGACACATTTTTAGAAAATTAATCTTATTTTATTTCAAAGACATGTAACTCTAACAAACTGAAATCTTCATTAAAGCAAGTCCCGGGTCAGTAGCAGTACTGTATTCACCTATAGTTAAGTAGATGTGTGCATTTGCATTCCCCGTCGCTCGCTACTCTGGCTAGTCAGTGCGGGCCGCGAGTCGAGCGACGACACACGTTGCGTTTGTTCTGTGTTCGTTCAAAGTTGCCAAATGGGCGAGATGGCTCAAGATTACGAAGGGTAAGTAAAATTAGATATGTTTTAACATACTTACACAAAGTATGTAAAATGTATTTCAAAAGCCTTGATACTCAAGTGGCTGCAAATGTACAACAACAAATTTACAGAGTTCGGATCATACGAATTATAATGTGCGTTTCTACCCCCTTCTGCCTACCCCATCAGAACATGAAAGGTGTGATGTTATGGCGTACAAATTAGGCAAAATGGAATAGTCAGGTTCTAAACAAAATATTTTATATGTCGAAGCGTCAACGCATATCAATTAATTTAGATGTGGCAACTATTGTTTGAGAACGTCAAGTAATTACTTGAGGATGGTTAGCGCGGAGTAATGGCAACACCGATGGAAATATCGATCCGGAAGTTTAATCAGACTTTGACATTTGACAGCAAAGGACGTTGACAGACGTCACTGAGCGCGGGAAACACTTTTGGAAAGGATCGCGGTGGTGGCGGCAGCTAGAAGGGTTACTCCCCGCTAAACTTCCTGCGTTCTTACTAATATCAATAATTTAGTGTGATTCGACAATGTCGCGACCCACCGGTAGCGTATCTCCGACATATACATATAATATATGTAGTTAACTAATTAACTGATTGATGGATTAATGATGCTGGATTAGCTCCTGTGATCCAGCGGCGGAAACGTCCAGGATTAATGAACGATGATATTTGGCGTATTTGTTAGAATGTACCAACTACCATTTGCTTGCTACTTTGTTTATAAAACTACGTAAGTAATCGGATAGTCTAGGATTTCACGTAGGTATTAAATAATATCAAAATTGGATCAACATTTAAAAACGTTACACAAATAATTTAATCTTCTTTTATATCAGATTGTAAAAAAACTGATGTGACGGTGGAGTAATGATATTTTGATAATGTTACAATACAATAAAGAGGGCTAAAAGACTTATGACGATCGAGATAAAGGTCAAGAACGCAAGAAGCAAAAACATACAGAGATACCAAGCGACATAAGGATCGAAGAACGGAAGATTTAATAGACGAGGAAGAAGAATACAGAAATAAACATTTTAAGGCTTAGGAAAGGAAAGTACATGAACGATTGTGATAATTGAAGTCAACAAAAAAGGATAAAACTATGTGGAAACACAGTGTTCAGAAAGAGAGTTATACCTACTTGCGCGATTTTAATTTTAGTTAGGATATACCAGATGTGCCGTGAGCCGATAGTTTTAAGTGGTGAATATTGTTGGATGTGGTGGACTAACGAAGATATCATTGTTCGGTGGTGCATGTGCACTGTGTGCTGTGGTTGTGCACTGCACCACCACGTGCAGTTGCATGTTGATGGTATTGATAGTGATGATTATGATGATGATGGTGATGGCGATGATAGTGATGGTGATAATAATAATGAAATCATCATATTAATGATGATGTTGATGGTAATGATTGTTATGATGATGATGGTGATGATGATAGTGGTGATTATGGTGATGATGATAGTGGTGATTATGGTGATGATGTTGATCGTGATTATGGTGATGATGTTGATCGTGATTATGGTGATGGTGTTGATCGTGATTATGGAGATGATGTTGATCGTGGTTATGGTGATGGTGTTGATCGTGATTATGGAGATGATGTTGATCGTGGTTATGGTGATGGTGTTGATCGTGATTATGGAGATGATGTTGATCGTGATTATGGTGATGATGTTGATCGTGATTATGGAGATGATGTTGATCGTGATTATGGTGATGATGATGATGATGATGGTGATGATGATAGTGGTGATGAAGGTGATGATGATGATCGTGATGAAGGTGATGATGATGATCGTGATTATGGTGATGATGTTGATCGTGATTAAGATGGTGATGGTGATGGTGATGAAGGTGATGATGGTGATGATGATGACGGTGATGATGATGATGATGATGATGATGATGATGATGATGATGATGATGATGATGATAATATAGTAATTAGATAATGTCTGAATTTTAATATCGTTTGACTTCTAAAGTTTTGAATCTTATGTCTTCAGTCCTTTGTTGTCAGTATGTGAATGTTTGAACATTTGTATCGAATATAGAACAGGATTTATTTGTATGATATCCCGGACTTGATTAAATTAGGTTTATTAGACCGCATGTGCTCTGTAATGAAACATCTCAATCCCACCGTTATTGAATTGAACTGACCATGTTCGATATTGATTACAGGAAAGCTATCAAGGAACCCTGTTTGAAATAACTTACAAAGCGTCAACCACGCTGACACACACACACACACACACACACACACACACACACACACACACACACACACACACACACACACACACACATACACATACTATATTAGATATTGGCCTTGCAATATTTCTTCTTTCGTGGCTGCTGTCGGCATAATCTCTATAATATATTAATTTCGTCAATGGGTACGGTAGACTCGATCGAAACATTGTCTGAATAACAAAACATAAAAAAACATCGATTTCGAGTCGACAACATAATTATTTCCATATAATTCAATGACACCAACAGATAAACAGCAGTCCCCATCTTGAGTAGATAATAAACGTTCCGTTTCATACTAGCTCTCAAATACGCCTTGCCAATCAACACGTTGTCGTGTCAAAAAAGTATAAATTAACAAGAAATATGAATAATTTCACGCGAACGAAGTAGCGGGTAACAATTAGTGTTTGTATAATACATATGCTAGTGTGTTACGCGACTGTTAGTTGTATTTTTTTAAACCTAGAAAAATAAATGTAATATAATAATAATTAATTCTTCGTCATTATCATCTACCTATATGTGCTTACTACTGAGCAAAAAACCTCTTTTCATATGGAAAAAATGTGCATTATTCAAACTTATAATTAATAAAATATATTTCCAAACATTAGTTTCGTTCTAAAATTAGAAAATAAATAATAGCAAAAAAAAAATATTATTAATTTATTATATTTCTAAGAACTCATTTGCAATTGTATTAACTGAAACTCATTTAGAAATGTAATAACTAAGTTTCAAAGAAGATAACTTTTATTTTACTCGTGGTTCCATGTTTTCTGATTACCATCTTGCTGCTAATAAACATTTTAATTACAGAAATCGTAATTATAGAATGCGTGTAGCACTGTGCACACAGTACGAATGAAAAATAAACAAATTTTATTCGATATTGCGGTGAGATCGGAATGTTTTTGCAATTTAAAAAAATATTATTTGCATTTCAAAATTCTATCTGTTTGCCGATGTCTGGGCTGGTATTTACGCGCCACTATGAAAAAAATATTAAAAATAAATAGCGTCAGAATGAAAAAAAAACGGAACGTAAATTACACAAACCCACTATAATGAGAATCGCTCATGTTGCATCCGCACCAATACTTATTATTTGAATTAATAACTGATGCACGTTTAACGGAGGGGGGGGGGGGGAGCTAGGGTAAGGTTTGGTGGGAATCGCTGTTAGTGAGAGCAGCTTTGCCTATAAAACGCCAAGATGCCTTTTGCTATACTCGTCGCGGAGTACCGTAAAAAGCAGTCAGCCAGTTCGCCCCATCCACGTCCCCGTCCGTCGTCCTACCTGAAACCTACTGCAATCGCGCAGTCACTCGACTCATGTCACTGCTGACAGGGAACAGGCTGGCTTCCGGTCGAGCCTCTTGTGTACGAACCAGGTCTCCGTATCATATTGGAACTGGCATCATAATGGCAGAGAGAGGTTTATCTCATATTTGTTGACTTCAAAAGAGCCTTCAATACGTTGAAGTTCTCGAGCATCTGGTCTCGTCTAATAGATATTGGTGCGCCTCCAACAGACACAGTCATAGACACTCTAGAAGATTTGGACTATGACGACGATCTTTGCCTGCTAAGTTCCATCCACGCCGAAAAGAAAAAGAAATAGCTAAGTTGGACGACTTGCATCAGGAGGCAGCAAAAACTGGTTGAAAGATTAACACACAGAAGACAAACGAAATGAGATCTGACATGAAGATTAATTCACTGTTGCTGATTGGCACAGAGGCGGTGGAGCGCGTCCACCAATTTACATGCCTCGGGAGCGTCGTATCGGAATCTGGGGTAGTGAGAAAGTGAGAAGGACATCGCCTCACAGATCGCCTAAGCACGCGCTACTTTCGCGTAGCTGAGATCTGTGAGGCAGTCACAGAAATTGACCCGAACGATCAAGCTCAAGATCTTCAGGACGTTAAATCCGTACTCATCTATGGGTGCAATACCCGAGACTATCTCCAATATAGAACTGTTGGAAAAATGCCACGATAGCCCCATGTATCGCAAATGGGGATAGATTGGCCACACTCTCCGAAGAGGTCCCGACCACATATCCAAACAAGCCATGGAGTGGAATCCCCAAGGGAAAATAAAGCGTGGTCGTTCGTCCAGGGCAAACTTGGTGGCGTACTGTGGTGGTAGAAGCGGCGGGCATCGGAATGACGTGGAGCGAGGTGAAGCGTGAAGCTCAAGACCGATCGATATGGAGAACCTCTGTGGACGCCTTCCGCCCCATCTAGGGGACATAGGAACTCAAGTCAAGTCAAATAAGTCAAGCACCTTTGACGTCAGACGATTTCGCAAGTTCTTGTTTTTTCAATGAATTGTAAGAATGATCATTCTATTATACTACTTCGAATTTGAATTATCAATTATAGGGTTAATATTGTATTAATTATTCAGTTATTGAATACATTTTAAATAATTTCGGTTTTTTTTCGATCGTCCGACTGCAGTAAACGTAATTCGCATGTAAACATGTCTAAACTGGCCGTAGTAGTTAGTGAATTTAATGGTCTTGTCTGTCCGTCTTGTGGTGTATGAAACGTTCATGTAACTTTGTATTTCCCAGTATTTAGATAGTTACGTAAAAGTTTGCTAAAGTTATCTTCTAAATTAAACTAGGTATAATAATATGCTTTTTGATAACTTCGGAATATTACTCCAGAAATTCTACTTTAGTTGGTTACCTTTATTTTAATTTGTTGGAATATGTATGTTCGGCTACATTGTTAGAACTAACTTTAGTAGTTTCCGAGAGTGTGATAACAAAGAGATATTAATGCATACTTTGATGAGGAACTCGTCTAGTTTCAAGCCATGCTAGAGACTCATATTCATGAGCAGCATTGCGTGACCCGCGGCGCGGTATCTGTCGCGCTGTTACTGACTGCTCGAGTCTGCTGCGGTGCGGGCCTAACGCGCCCTCTGCCGTGCGCACTTTCCTCTATCTGTGATGGTGTGTTCTCGGCGTGCGACGAACGTGCCAGCGGTGTAGAACGCGCGCTTTACATAAATACAAATGTACGAATAGGTTTTGGCGTTCCGAGTCTTAGTTCGAGTTTGAGTTTAGTTTGTAGAAAAATAAATAAAAGTCACCTGCGCAGAAGTCACCCGATTTTTCGATTTCCCGACTAAGCTATTCAAACTTTTTATGGGATAGCGTTTCATATTCTAATTATATTTAAGGCCGTTATTATGCAATGAGAACACTGGTAAAATGACATTATCTGAAAATGAAACCCAATTTATCACCCTCGCAACTTCTAAATACAATATTTTAAGAAAATCGTCTCAGCCGTTTCTGGAACCGATGATTTAATATAATTATATCATTTTTGTTGTTGAATTGCTCGTTTAAAGGTATTAGACATGGACAGAAGCATTTTGTCAAATAAATTTCGACCAAATTGCTCAATAATAGGTATTATGTTAGTGTATCATCAGGTACAATTTTAATACTACACTTCAATAATATTTACTTGTAAAATGGTTTGGGAAGCTATTACAATTTGTGCACCTGATGTAAACGCATTGGTAAAAAAGATAAAGGTATTTAAAAAAATCACAAAAAGCACATGTTTTTCGGATTATTTTAAGCCAAAAACAATGGTTAAAAGGTTCACAAATTTAACTTGTTTCATGAATACAAACAAATAGATGTGCGTCACTCTTTATTTGTGTTACATTAAAATAAAGTAAACTTCGGAGTAAATATTGTACAGTCGTATTGCGGTTTTATTTTGTTTCAGTTTTACCTTATTATAATTTATGTGCGAAAGGAAATGAGCGATATAATTAAAATTGAAATTGGAAATGAAATTAAATCAGCTCGTGTGTTTGTTCCGTTAAAAATAAATGGTTTGTACTTAATGTTATTTGTGGTACTTTAAAATAATATTACATGGATTTATTTTTAAATGTCACAGTTATTTTCTTCGTTTTAAACACAATTATCTTCGGTCTTCACAGACTAATAATGGGGACTGGCAGATGAATGTTACACTCTAAGATATTTCTTTATCTTTTTCACTTGCATATTGGTTATCAACATGCTACATGCTAATTGGTTATCTCTTGAAAACAAAGGGTATTAATACACATGCTAATTTCAACCACGAAAGCATGCTTCAATTGAGCACTCGTCACTTAAGCTTAGTTCATATTGCTGTATCGGGGTGTGTCGGGGTGTGCCAGAACGCAATCGCTTACGTTCATTTACTATGAATAGATTCACATTAGTAGGTTGTGTTGTATTGTGGCGCGTTATGTCGCAGTAAAATCGCCCGATCGGGCCAGAGAGGTGGTGGGGGATCTGTCGCGCCACACTTAGGTGGATCTATCATTCACGACGTGTTATTGCGAGGGAACACAGTTCATGCAATTATTATACTTCTGATTTTTGTTCGTTCTTGTTGTTTTTTTTTTGGAATGAACCCAATAGGTATCTTATTTTCCTTTTCTTTTGTTTTTGGAAGAGTCATCAATCAATAGAAAAAAATGAATATGTTCATCGAAATCATTGTCGTCAGACGATTCCATTTTAAAACACGTA